GTAAAAGACAGACATGTTAGTCATTCTTTGCAAGAGAAAAAATAATATATGCTCTTGAGTATTGTTATGTTATCTGCTTGAAAGTAATGGCGCCAATGTGTTTTGTTTTTTTTTTTGTTTTGTTTTTTTTTCATAACTTGACCCATCACGTGCCACCTTTAACGAATACATGGGAAGAAATAACCAAATTAAGCAATGGATATTTGAACACAAACACTGAGCAGGGATATATTCTTTATCCTCTGCAAAGATTAAATATTATTTCTGCCTAATACTCAGCGAAGTAAATTAGACAATAATGCTGAAGCTTTTTTAAAAAAAAAAGTGCTGATAAGGTAACCAAACAAATTGAAAGATCTTTCCACGATGTAGCAGAATTTGCCACCAGTGCAAACGGCAACTCTAAACATATTAGTAAATTAACGTTGAAGGCTAAATTTCAGAAAGGGCTGCTGTATTTGACCTCATTAGTTTCAGCCCGTGTACCTAATGAAGCTACTAGTGAGCGAACACATACACACTGGATAAAAAATACGAATTAAAAAAAAATTTACACACACACACACACACACACACACACACACACACACACACACACACACACACACACACACACACAAAGCTAGTGGAGCCATCTGCAGACTGTGTCGTGGACCAAGCCTCCAATTGTTGTTTCTTTTCTGTGCAACTTTTGTGACGAGCAAAATTAGACTCTTTATGTTCATGTGTTCAATGCGACGCTGCATGCGGGTGCGCTGGCCACCGGTTGGAGAATGCGCTGATTGTGTGACGAATGCCCGAAGGGCTCCTTTATGTAATTGAACAGAGCTGCTGCACCCAGATGAATGGCCCAGCCAATAAAACCCCATTAGAATTGAACTGCGGGAGAGAGAGAGAGAGAGAGAGAGAGAGAGAGAGAGAGAGAGAGAGAATGGAAAGATACGAGCCGTTATATGGATGTACTGTACGCGACGTGCATTCATCTGCGTGTGTGCATAAAAACAGAGGTTGCATTTTATTCTTTGGGGCCACCACACCTTTAATGCATCTTCCAATTGTTTTTCGAAATTGAGCTTCTTGAGGGAATAAACACAATTTTTATCAAGTCCCTCATTTTGTTTTGTTATGACCCACTGTCGTTAAAATATCCCGCAGGCATAAAACCAAGATTGTCTCCATGCTCGTCAACATGTTTACTGACCTCACACGCTCTCTGGATTGAGGCGTTTTCATCCAGGGAGTCGCCATGCATGCGTTGGTTTTGTTATTTTAATTTGACATCGGTCCACAGAGATGGCAGAGATTCAGAAAAGGCGAGAGACGGGCACCACGGAAGAGTATAATAGATGGCAAGGAATACGACGTGACCAGGGATTACTTTGGGTCTCTTTGGCCATTGTAATGAGTCAACGGGATAATTGGATTGGGGGGGGGGGGGATGTAATTTTGCAAGAAAATCCCGGACGGCCGCAAGTGTAAGACGATGGCCTCAGCTACCGATAACATCACGGCGTCGCACAAATGAGTCTGAATTCCAAGATTCCTTCCTCGTGGCCCGTGTAGCCACCTTGTAACTGGCAAACCCTTGACTTTTGGTTTCTTCAACTTGTTCTACTGCCACATCATTTACATAGAAGTTCAATTTTGGCTAATTCATGAACAAATACCATGCATTATATTTTAGTAATATTAAAGTCTCATTTGTTGTTGGTGATCCATTTGACCACTGTCTGCACTTCCAAGTTTGTCTATTGTCACAGAAGCTGTGTATTTTGTTTGTTCACCTGCATGCATCGACATCTCAGCTTGCTCGAGGATGAGTGGTCATTCATTATTAAAAACGGAGAAAAGCAATGGGCCTAAACAACTACCTTGTGGCACTCCGCAATCAATTAATTTGACCTCAAACAAAGTGCTGCTCCCTGTGGCCAAGTTGATCATCTGTGTTCAGGTCATTAAATGAAAAGCAAGACCGTATTTGTTTCAAATTAATTAGCTCCAAGTTTTTACCCGAAGCTCGTGGCTGCAGCAGCCGTAGTAAGGAAACAAATTATATCCAGAGGAGATTCAAACATGCTTTCCTGGCACAGCCCCGATGATTTCAAACGGAAAAACTGTTAAATAACAACATAGGTCTCCTGTATTGTTTGGCATGCAACAGAAGACAAATTGTATGCAACAGGTCAAGCATGAAAATCAACCAGTGCATCCTAGCGGAGACTGTGGAGCACAGTTAGACCTACCACGGTTTGAAAATTTCTGTGGCGAGAACTGTGAAAATCACGTCACATTAATTGTGTCAGACATGCTAACGAAAAAAAAATTTGAGGGAACAATGATGTTTTTTCAGACCGATACCAGCACGCGTACTCTTGAGTAGTCCCAGATACCGATACCAATTAGCGATACCACTATTATGATAGCTGAAAAGTCACCAAAAACAATGACAGAGCATTTAAATAAAATACCTATACATCGCACGATTGTATTTTTCCTTAAAGTTGAATTAAATCGATGGCAATTTTCCAAGATGATACTGCAGCAAAAGAGACCATTGGCGGTCAACCTAGTCGTGCCTAGTCAACTAATCTTGGCAGCTCTAGTTAGATGAATGCGCCCCCATGTAGACAAATTTTACAACAGAAGACGCTGTGGGCAACATGGAAAGATGAACTATTACAGCAAAGCGGAAACTGGAGGTTATAAAACTGTAGCAGGCGTGGAGGTCCCATGCAGGACGCAGGCTGATCCAAAATGTCAGGCGCAGTATCTTCGGGCCGACTCCTGCAGGGAGGTGATACAGAGAGAGTGAGCGAGATGTCATTATCGTCGAGTGGCACCGCATCCATCGCCGGGAATCCAACCTGGGCCACGCGCCTGATTGGCAGCCGTGTGCCGTTAACGCATGACAATACGAGGCGGCGCGCCGGCAGCCAAAAGCACGACAGCTTGCCGAGCATTCTCTTTAATTAAGCCGAAGAGAGGCGGAGCGGCAACGTCGAAGGACAGCGAGAGGAACACAAAAAAAAAAAATGAAAAAATATGTAAATGGTGAGAAAGAAAAATGATGAGGTCACCGCTGCAAAGAAGAATGAATCAGTATCCAGTTAATTAGCGCTACAACCTTGCTCATTAAGCCTCAGACTTGACTGACTGACTTGACTTCACACTGGAGTGTCCAACACACACACACACACACACACACACACACACACACACACACACACACACACACACACACACACATTAGTTATGTGTTCTTAACTTACGCGTTCATTTCCACATAAACCACCTTTGCATGGTCATTACAAAGTGTACATTTGTTCGCAAAGGTACAGTATGTAAAATTTAGTGGCCTCTAGTGGTGAACGAATAGAATGCAATGACCTCAGCTCAAAGCGAGTGCATTTTGAACCGCGCACTGCGGTGCTTCAGCGAGACTATGTCATTCCAAATGGCTTCTAAAATTCCCTCAAGTGACAGAGTAAGTGCATGGAACCCGTGACACATGCCGTAGTCACCATGTTGAGGAACTACATTCGCTAAATTTGTCACCTTCGGGTATCCGTAGCAGAAAGATGGCTGCGAAACATGGCAGCCTCCTGTTGAGGAGGCGCACCATCTATAATATAATTAGTGATTACTTCACCTCCTAAAAAACAAAAATACGTTGATGTGATAGAACACTTTTGTTCTTATTGTTGAAATTAATCGTGGGTTTTTGAAATATTGAAAAATCAACACATTTTTACACTCTGTCCCTTTAAGAATGAGAAAGTGACGCAGGAGGATGAGGAGTGAGGGCGGCTGGAAGCGTTAGTGCTGACAGGAGAGGAGTGCAGAAAGAGATTGATGATCTCTGGGCCGACGGGAGAAAGTGAGGAGAGACAGCCCAGTACTTACCGATAAATTAACTCCTGACTAGAAAGCCCACTGGTGTGTATTGATATGCCGCATGCGGAGAGGTGCGCCGCGCACCACCGCGGAAGCTCGGAAGTCCAACGGCATCCGTTTGGCTTCGGAAACTCGTTTTCTCCCATTGGATATGCAGTTACCTCCAGAATTTAACGATTTATTTTGTGACGAAGGAAAGGAGCTTTGTTTATCCAAAAGACTACAACTAAGATGGCTGCCAAAAATAACACTGCTTGTACGGACAGCGAGCTGCCGGCCCACGATTGCTTTTTTTTTTTTTTTTTGTCAACTACTGCTTTAGTCTTTCAACACAAATATCGTCTTTCGTACCTTTCGCACGACTTCGCATTGTGACGCTGTCATCGATCCGCCGAGCGTATCGTCGGCCTTGAAATGAGACAATCCCAGCACAGACTTGTTTTGATTGGAAGTGCATCTGTCACGGACAATGCCAGCCAGCATCTCTCCGGCCTGTTGTTGCAACGTAGCGAGTGTAGTGCAGTTACCTTGTGGATGTGTTTCGCCGCCTTCAAGTCCCGCGCGATGCATAACGTTTTGTGTCTTGAGTATATAATTGAATGAGTCCGAAAGCAAAATAAACTCGACAATAAATACCGTAATTATAATAAAATGAAGACTTTGAAATATAATACAGATAAAACTCTCCTTTAGGCTATATACATACAATCAAAATGACTACCATTCATTTCAGTATTTAGCAGAATCAAAAACAGAAGAATACAATCAGGAAACCTGAAAGTAAATCGGAATCCAAATATCGGAAGGCATCTATGAATAACAAAGCGTAGCAAAAATACACACAACTAATCATGATGGGGTAAAAAAAAAATCTAATAAATAAGATCCATGAAAATCAAACCAAAACACATCAAAGGAATAAATCACGTATTACAACAGTGACCTTACGTCTCTCGCTGTCGTGTGCGTCTTCACGTCACTGCATGTTGTAGCTGTCGCCATGTGTTTCGTCCATGTGTGTGATCCCATTTCTTGCTTGTGTGTGTGTGTGTGTGTGTGTGTGTGTGTGTGTGTGTGTGTGTGTGTGTGTGTGTGTGTGTGTGTAGATAATGTGTCATTCCCAAGCACCGCCCCTCCCACTTCCACTTCCCATCCCAACGTCACCCCGTCCCTCTCGCTGGACCCCAAAGGTAATGCACAGCATTTTTTTTTTCCCGACTGTTGCCCTTCATCTCCATCCTCATTCTCCTCTGGTGTCTTCCTCTTTTGTCTCCTCTCACACACACACACACACGCACACACACACACACACACACACGCACACACACGCGCGCGCGCGCAGCCATTGTTGTGCTGCAACCTTCCTTTGTCCTGAATTTCCACAAGCTTGCATACCTGCTGATGCTCGGCACACAATCGCTCACTCGTGCTTCCTTTCTTATCACCGGGCGCACATTTCACCGACTCAGCATTAGCGCATTGGAAAGCGCGCGTGTGAGTGTGGATCGTTTGGGTGCCTCGTGCGCCTCCTGCACAAATGGGGGAGGTCGAAAAGCCGCCAGGAAGAAAATAGGAACATCCGAAATGCGGCGAAGAAACGCGACGAATGAGCCATCCCGGTGGATGTCGAATCGTATGAACCCCTCGAGAGTGTGACAGCTGAAGAAAGAGCTTGGCGCACGTCAAACTCTTCATAAACTGCAGCGGTGCATCTCAAATCATCTTTCCCCAAAGGAAATGGAAGTATGGAAATAACCCCCCCCCCACCCTGCAAAATAAATAAATAAATAATGTGACTCCAATTACAAACATTTTTGTTCAAAAAATGATTTCATTTCGTGCAACCACTTGACAAAATAAAATGGAGCAAATTCAACACACCATTTTTTTTTCCCAGCGCACCCTGGTTAAATCACAAAAGCGTGTTCACCATACAGAGAAAGTCATCTATTTCTCTCATTCATTCACCCACCACGCCCCCCGCTACAGTGGCGCTTTCTTTTCAACAGCAAGGAGACGGCAGACAAAAAACGGGCATGTTTCTTACTCTTTATTCTCGTCTTGCGGGTAGATGATGTTCGACCTGCTGGCGTTTGTGTACGTTTGTGTAAATGTCAAGAGAGTTGCGGGGAATCAAGCTTGCGGCGTCAACGCGACTCTTAGTCGATCGTCGGCCCTCGAGATCAGGGTCTGGCAGACGGTTAAAAACGGAAATATGCTGAAGGTAGTGATATTGCTAAATCCACTCAAGCGGCGCTTCTTGGACTTTTTACATTAAGTGGCACCTAAAATAAAAAAGTCATTTGCTCTTCAAGTGCCGTTATCGTGAGCGGCGTGAAAATATATTAGCGTAGCAGGACGACTCGGTCCCTTTACTGTGTCTGACGGTTTGCAAACTTTTTAAACGTCTTGCCTTAGTTTTTATAGCCCGTCATTCTCTTGCCAGTGATTCCAAGGAAAGAGTTTTTTTTTTGGTCATTCATTCCATCATTTTTGATTGTACAGGGACCGGTGTTGCCACAGTTACCTTGAAAAGTAGTTATTTTTCTGATTACTTAGTTTTAAAAGTTAGATTACAAGTTACTACATTAGTTACCTTCAGCAGCAGTAGCAGCAGCAGGACAATGAAAAAAAACGGTTTTGCCAAGATTTTGTTGGAAGTGCATTTTTAACAGTAATTTTTTGGGAAAGTTTTTTTGGGTAAAGATTTTGAAAAATACAAAAGACAGCTTTTTTTTTTTTTTTTTATTGTACGTAGATGATTCTTTTTAATTTAAAAATTGGACCAGACATATTCAATGCTGTCATAGTGAAACTTAACAATTGTAATGTACGTTGTTTATAAAGATAACTGCAGAACTCACGGACCTCGTGCATTAGTCACAGTTCTGCTCCACACAACCTGCTTGAGTTCATCGTGCTCCAGATATTTTTTTTTGTTTTTTTTTTTTTTTTTTTTTTTTCAACTTTGCTGTTTTTGGTTTTAAAAGCTAGATCACACTTTGTTGACAGTACAGGTGTGTACAACCAATCTTGATATTTTCATTTTTTAAAATTGATTACTTTAACTACTTTCTACATTATTTATTTATTTATTTATTTATTTTTACATTTTGTTTGGTATTTATACAACACGGGGCTATTTTTCTGAATTATAAAACACGCAGCAACAAAAAAAAATGGTGGGATTTTTTTGCGGGTTGGAACGGATTAATGCAATTTCAGTTCATTTTAATGGGAAATTTGGTGGCGATTTTTGTCGGTTCCGAATCTTGAGGGGTACCTAACATCGTGGCCGATGGATTCAAAATCAGTTTAAACGAGCAGTACGTGCTTCATACCTCAGCATGCTGACTTTTCTTAAAAAGGTCAGCACAAGCGATGAAACAAAATGTCAGATGATTCCACTTGCGCTTTTACTTCTTTATCTCCCCTCACTCATCTTAAGTGGTTGATTCCATTTGCCGGGCGGGCGGCTACGACGGTGGGGGAGGGCGGGTGAGGTCAAAAAACTCCTCCCCAAATTTCCCTCATTCAAAATGCATTGCGCTCTTTTCCCAGGTGCTCGGCCCGAATGGGTTTTGTCAAGCTCTTGCTTTATTCACCGTCCTGATTTCTCAGCCATTCTATCAGTAACGGTGCAGCTTGGGGGAGTGATGAGAGGTGATAATGTAACTCGGGTGGAAGATATCGACTTTTTATCTCCCGTCTGCCCACTCCTGCTGCTTTCTACCTTCATTTTTCTTTTTTCTTTTTTTTTTTTCTACTCCCAACCATCTTCCCGTGTCTTGGTTTTATCACGTCGTCCCCTTTGTCTATTCACTACGCTCTCCACTCTGAAAAGGGTGGCCTCCTTTATAGTATAAAGTTAATAGTGTCGTGTAACGTTCCTCCGCAGAAGCTGAAGTGCAACGTGCCTACTGCAAAGCACAACCGGCTCAATCAAGTACACAATTGCACGTCTACGGTCGGGTAAACATTGGTAGCTAATTCAGTGTAGCTAATTGCCGCTGGTTCGAACAAATCGTGTAATCCCTTCACAGGTGGTTAGGATAGAGGGAGGATGGATTTTTCAATCACTTGACTGAACAAACGGTTACAAAATACAGGATATACAAAGACGTTCATAGCAGGCTTGCCGACGGCGTCAACTGACGGCGTCACCCAACGCGCAGATTGGCCAAAATTTTAGCCCGTTTAGCCGCCCAATTGCAGACTCTCATTTGACAACATTTCGTGTCACTCAACAGACCAGGCCCGCCGATTCAAGTCGCACGCATTCGGTCACAGACGCGGATTCGGTTTCTGTAGAATGTGAGGATGGTGACCCCAAGTGGACAAAAACAATACCTGCACTTTTTTTTCTTTTTTTTTTTTTTATCTTGCACTCGACAAATACTCCATGTACCGTATTTTCCGCACAATAAGGCGCTTCATAGTATCAGGCGCACCTTCATTGAATGACCTATTTTAAAACGGTTTTCATATATAGGTATATAGGGTGCACCGTGTTATAAGGCGCCTAGAATAGAAGCTACAGTGTAGTGGATGCAGTTGCGTCAAGCATCCACTAGATGGAGCTATTCTAAAGGGGATACAATACAATACAGCTTTATTTGTATTGCGCTTTCACAATCGCCGCAGCTGTAACGAAGCGCTTGACAGAATATTTAAAATACTACGTCCGAGAAATCAGAATATTGATCCATATATCCGTCGCATCCGATTATAAGGCACGTTGTCGACTTTTGAATAAATGTCATGGTTTTAGTTGGGCCTTGTAGTGCGGAAAATATGGTATTTAAAAAACTACCAAAAAAAAGTAAAATAACAACAACCAACCTGATGTATAAACGAAACTTACTGAATAAAAAAAAAAAAAAAAAGGAAATAAAAATCAACTATAATTTACATAATAACAATAACAATAATACGACCCTGATCGAGGCTTTCATCACACTTTGTGGAGCCTCATAATGTTTCAGAAAGAGCTTCAAAAACACAATTACTTGAGTTTTTTTAACAAATCATTATTCCCCCCACCACGCAAACAATCGACAAATAGACAAACATGCCAGAAATTCCTGTCACTGACCACCTTTTGTCTTTGCGCAGATCCCGGCGCAGTGGTGGAGACTCACAGCGCGGTTCCCTACGCGGTGATCGGTGGCGTGCTGGCCCTGCTGGTTTTCACCATCATCTGCGTGCTCATCGTCACCATCTGGTGCTCCGTGCGCCAGAAAGGTAAAGCACACACCAGCGCGCATGCTCCTGCTGCCAGAGCGAGCATACGTTGGTATTAAATGTTATTAAGCATGAAATGCGCCACGCCGAGGCGATCCGTTTACATTAGTGACACCAAACGTGTCCAATAACGGTTATTTGTTGCGTGTTTTTATGGGCGGCTAACTCTGTGTTACATTTAGTTGTTGCCTGGTGGATGTGCCCATCCACACACACGCACGCTCAAAAGCACACACAAACATCAGACATTCCGTTCAAATGCATTGGCGCCACAAAATCTGTCCCTCCACTCACACATAGAGCGCAGAAGTCAATACGCCGTGGCATTATGGGAAATAACGCCAAACGGCAAAATGCATTGCAGACACAATGAAAAAAACATTTAAAAAACAAATAAACGCTTACTTAACTTTCAAACGCATTGGGGCAGTCGGATCTATTTGCGAGTCAGTATTTGCCAGTCAAAAATTTTTACTCCACGCTTCTGTCTTTTCTCAATGCATTCACACTAATATGGACAAAGTTGAGGCGAGCATGTTGGCTCTGCGTTCCAGTTTCTCATGTGGCCCTTTAGCAAAATGAATTGGCCAGCCCCGTTTTAAAGTGATGAGCGGCTCCTGGCGTGGTCCCATGATGGATAACCTTGGACAGGATAGTGGCCGACAGGATGGTGCGGCCAAAGTAAGTGCGCGCTCCTTGTTTTATGACTATATGCTACTATATTAAGGCTCATCCATTAAAATGAAGCTCCCCATCTTTCTAAGTGCCCCCCCTCCCCCCTCTCTCTCCGAGCCAATGTTGGCAGCCTTCGAGTGTGCTCAGCGGCCGCCAAGTAAGAAATGATCGAGCCGCCGGTGAGCTAGACAAGCTGCCAGTTAGCCTTCGGCTACGGCCTTGCCTTGCTGCCAATCAACATTCAGACCCGACTATTACGACCAATCAATTTCCGGACATAGGGGGCCCCGTTCGGGCTATTGTCCTGACTGTCAGCCCTTTCCGTTAAGACGGTCGATACGCAGGAGGGCGACATGTGCGTGTGTGCATGTTTGTGGACACTGGAGAGTTATTCAAGGGGACGTATTATTGAAAATGGACTCTTTAATGAATGCAAATAATTGGGTCTCTTGTGTGCCAACTCTGCAATTACGCAATCGAGAGAACCTTTTTCTTAGCTGCACTGGTTCTGAAAATGTGTCCGTGAGCAAGGTGTTCTCAATTTGTGTCTGCCGTTCTGGATTTTGCTGAATCGTGATGTCACAGTTTGTTGAATTAACAGAGCACCGCCTCCACACCAAGTTTACCCACCCATGACTTGATACCTCTGCTGGATGAAGATCTGCCGTCTCCAAGCGATCCTTGGAAACGAGCGGCATTTGTGTTTGGTGGTGCCTATTACGCTAATCCATCCATCCATCCATCCATTTTCTGTTCCACTTTATCTTCACAAGGGTCGCGGGGGGTGCCGGAGCCTATCCCAGCCGTCTTCGGGCAGAAGGCGGGGGACACCCTGAACCGGTTGCCAGCCAATTGCACACGACGCTAATCGACAAGTCATTTGGCAGATTGGTGATGAAGTGCTGCTTCCCTGAGTGAAAATGCAATTCATTTTCAAGGGGGCTGGCTTTTCTCTTTGGGAACAAGGAGCTGCTCACCTTGTCACAACACCCTAGCTCTGTCCCCTGTCAACATGGTAATGAAAGCGTTACTAGGTCCTCAGAGTTGCTTTGTCTCTGACTCGGAAGCAAGGCTGGACCAAGATCCGCCACTTTCAAGTGATGGCCGCAGTCTGGTACATTTTCAAATGTTCACTAAAGTTGGCAACATCGTTGCAGGCGGCATTAGTGTCTGTCGGTGTGCACACTGTATGCATCACATGCATTACTCTCCGACACTGGTGATGAAGTGCTGCTTCCATGTGTGAAAATAATGCTTCTATTTTGTCATTCTGTGGGTATTCTTTTTACTTTTTTTTTTCTCTCAGCCTCTGGGTTGTTTGAGAAAAAGTTGCTGCTCGCCTAGTCGCCACACCCAAGCTCGGCGACCAGGTGTCATGCTACGAGCAGTGGCTCATTTGCATTGCAGTTTTGCAAATGTATGTTTCTCTGCCCTTGACTTAGCAGCGAGGCTGGGTAATGATGGGCCATTTTCAAGTGATGCTCAAGTGTCCAATATTATCTGAAGTTGTTGGCTTGGAGACGAAGTGGTTTGTGTGTCCGCTGCATGCGCCTCATGTCAGGTCCACTCAAATGGATTTACAGCGCTCTTAAACGCAAAAGAGTCTCACAAGGGCTTCACAAGCACACCGTTGACAAATACAAACGACATCCCTGATCTCAACCCCAAAGGAGGGCAAGGAAAAAAAACGAAATCACTTGATATCCTTCGTGGCGAGCGATGCTTATGTGAGTGAAAATACGAATGAAGCTTTCACTAAAGAGTCCGGGCTACTTGAGAACAAGTTGTCGCTTACCTACTCACAAAGCCCTAACTCTGCTCCCGATCGTCATGGTAACTAAAGCTGTACCCTTCAGTGGGCGGGGTGAGCAGTGGCTCATTTGCATGAGAGAAAACTTCCAAGTCTTTCTAACCGGAGTGAATGTGAATCATGCTGCCATTTTTTTCCTCTCCTTTCTGTGTGGTGAGCTAAGATGCCGTCGAGCTTCTTACGACGACGCGTCCCTTTGAAACGCTGAAAAACTGCCCGATGTGTCTCCTTGAAAATGTGACGCAAGAGCTAACGTCTGCCTGTCTCCTCTTTGTCTTTTGTTCCCCCTCTTGGTCTCTTCCCGACCGCCATTCAACCCCTCGCACGCTTGCTTTTAATTCCCAAGGCTCGTACCGCACCCGAGAGCCCATTCTCACTTGGTACTGACCCCAAGCCGCTAAAACTAATCAATTAACCCGTCAGGTACAAAAAAAAAAAAAACGGCCACCACGGGAGCTCGGGTTTGAGTTGGATGGAAGGCTGCTGCATGAGCTGTGAGCGTGCCGCTTCGCCGCCTAACCGACCCTTTCCTACCCCAACCTACTCTCTCTATCTCTCGCTCACTCTCTCACTCTCCCTCTGTCTGTTCCTCACCCCCCGCCCCCCTCTTTCCCTCTCTCTCTCCTCTCACCAAGGCTCCTACCTTACCCACGAGGCCAGCGGCTTGGACGAGCACGGCGAAGTGCAGGAGGCCTTCCTCAACGGCAACGACGCCAGCCAGGGCAAGAAGGAGTACCTACTGTAGCCCCCTCATCGACCTCTGACCTAATCCCTGTGCCCCACCCCTCCTTCCTTCTCCCCCCCATCACACTTTATACACTCACAACACACACACACACACACACACACACACACACACACACACACACACACACGCACACGCACGCAAACACAAAACGATTACACACCAAAACTCACACACGCTTGAATAAAGTGAAAGAGCCTACGTAGGCATTCACGGCCGCACAAGATGCTTTCTGTGCATCCGAATAAAAAGGCGAACAATAGGAAATGAGGGATTTAAGTGCAAATAAGTGTCGTAATTTCGTGGCAGGTCTTAAAAGCATGCCCCGTCGGCGCGGTATTTGAGCTCACCAGGATCCGTCGATGCCGGTAAATGTTCTCATATTTACGGGAAAAGAACAGGAGCCTCCTGGGAGGATTCGTACTCGATGTACACGCTCGCGTGGAGTGTAGTATATGACGTTCTGCCTCCAGGAATTGGGGGGGGGGGGGGGAGC